AAAGAGTGTACCACCACCACCACGCTTTAAATATACTTTCAATTGAAATAGTATTACAACACTTTTCCCCCTTCCTTATTTCCCCCCAGTACCTCCCAGATACCCTCCCTCAGACCCCTCCCACAATACCCCCCCAACTCTCAAGTTGATGGCCTATTTTCTTTATTATTGTTACACACATATGTATGTATGTGTATGCACACACACATATAAATACAATGTAATATAATATACTATAAATACCTGCAGAGTCTTTTTTGTCATTTGCGTGTATATGATTGGAAATGTCCACTTGTGCTGTAGCACAGCTGGTAGTCTCTTTGGGAAGGGTGTACAACTTTAAGAGGTGGAGCAGTCGCTAGGGAACCTGGGGTGCTAGGGAACCTGGGGTGCTAGGGGCAGGCCTTGGGTTTTTATAGCCTGGCCTTACTTCCTGCTCATTGTGTGCTTCCTGACTATGGATGCAGTGTGACCAGCCAGCCTTCTGCTCCTGCTGAGATGCCTTTCCCAACCATCGTATGTTTACTGCTCTAGAGTGGGACCTGGGAAAGTGTAGCCAATAAATGAGGCAGACTGAAGTCTGGGCTAGACAGACTTTCTTCCGAGCATCAGACAATGTATACTCTGTTAAAAAGAGCTGCATGAGTCAAGTGTACAGTCACGAAGGCCAGCTGCACATGGTAGACAGGCTGCCTGTGGCAGAAACATGTTTCACTGTAGAGGCATATAAACAACTTGTTATAGCCAGTTGTAATGAACAATCTGAGGAGAACTCATTCCTATCTGATACACCTAGGAAGGGTATGAAAGCAAATCCAAGACCAAGTCTGTGTCTTTGAAGAAACTGAGGTCACAAGAGTCTTAGTTTCTTGGAGTTCCCCGTTTTTGAGCCATGTTTACACAATGGTGGAATGATACCCTTGAACTGGGAGCCAAACTGGTTGCTTCGGCAGGTATTTTGTCTCAGGAATAAGGCAAGCAACTCGTGCACCCCCACTCCCAGGACATCTGACTGGAGTAGGGCGTGGACTGTGGTGCATTTTCTAACTCCTTGCTGGATGCTGGATGCAGTTTAAACCTGTCAGAGGTCGGCATCTCTCCTCCATGACCAGAGAGATAGGTGGTGGTAGTCAGAGGAGGAATTCAGAGCATTGTTGAATCGTCTACTTTCTACCAGATTTTTATCTCAAGGGAGTCTTCCTTTTAACTTGTGTTTCTCGAGCTTTAGCCTTCCTGGTTCATGCATTTATTTGACCAACAGTCATTAAGTGCTTACCACATGTCAGGTACCAGGTTAATGGCAGTGAGCAAAACAAAATTTTTCCTTTGACCTTGAGCCCCATAGAAAGGGACTATGGGCCTAGAGGCCTTTCATAATTTGAGTCATTGAATCTCCATCAGTGTGTGAGTCCCTTGGAACATAGAACCATGAGTCATTCATCTTTGGAGTGCCCATGGTGCCAGCTACAGGGCCTTCTGGGTAAATGTTTAATGAACTAAACAAATGAATTCAAAGGATACAGGAAACAGAAACATTTAGAAATCCCCTTGTTTCAGTCATGAGGCTCTCAACTTAAAAATGGTTTCTAACATTTTGGTGTGTTTTATTTCCTGTGCTTGAGATCAAATTCAGGGCTTCAAGATGCTAGACAAAGGGTCTACCATCGCATTCTACCTCTAGCCCCTCTCTTTATCCACATTTTGATAAGATTCAAAATAGAAGATGACCGACTCTCTGACTTGATAGATGGTTGGCTGTAAGCATATTCATTAATTTTGTACCCTGTGAGCACAGTATCTGACAGAAATAACTTGGTGGACCAGGATTTACTCAGGCTCACAGTTTCAGAGGCTCCAGGCTATCACAGAGGAAAGGCAGGCAGGACAGCTCCATTCATAAGGCAGGAAACTGGACTAGGCAACTAGCAAATGTCTAACCCTAGGGGCCTGCGTTAGGCTCCATCTCCAAAAGGTTCCAGAAGCACCCCCAAAAAGCACCACTAGATGGAGAATGAGCATGCCAAACAGAACCTCAAGGTGAACACTTCAGATGCTGACTATAAGGCTGGGGTTTTTAACTGGGAAAACTCGATAGATGGCTCAGTCAGTAAAGATGCCTGCTGTGCGAGCAGAAAGGCCTGGATTCAGATCCCCAGCACCTACATAAAAAACAAAAACAAAAACCTGAGCATGGCAGTACACATCCGTAATCCCAGCAGAGAAGAGGGTGCAGGAGACTTGCTGCCCATGCAATACAGCAGAATCAATGAGCTCTTAGTTCTGCGAGAAACTGTCTCAAAACAGAAAATACAGGGGGCTGGAGAGATGGCTCAGCACTTAAGAGCACTGGCTGCTCTTCCAGAGGACTTGGGTTCAATTCCCAGCACCCACATGGTAGCTCACAGCTGTCTGTAACTCCGGTTCCAGGGGATCTGACACCCTCACATCAATGCACATGAAATAAAGTTAAGTAAATAAAAAAAAAAAAAAAACAGAAAATACAGTAGAGAGAAACCACAGATCTTGATCTTGACTTCTGACATGCATGTGTGCACACACCTGCACTGAGCCCTAGTGCGTGCGCGCACATGCACACACGTGCACACACATACATTTTTTTATTATTTGAAATTAACAATAGTAGTTACTGTGCACAACCTAATGTTTTAAAGTATGTGTATAGTATGAGCTGGTTAAATCTAGGGAAAGTAACACACCTCACATAGTCAGCGTTTGCCTTCATCCACTCAGCACTCCCTCAACACAACATTTCCTCATCAATCACCATTGTGTGCTACGCTGTACAATAGATGTCTCAAACTCATTCCCCCTTACATAGTTTTATGTCACAGAAATCCTGCTCAAGAAGAAAACAAAAACAAACAAACAACAACAAACATTTGTCGGCTGCCAGCTGGTACAGCAGAGTCAAACCCCAGAGCACACACCGTGTCTGCATCTCTCCCAGGTTCCCAGCCCAGGTGTTTCAGCCCAGCTTGTAAAATATTTTTATGTAGGTTTTTGTTTGGTTGTTTGGTTGGTTGGTTGGTTGGTTGGTTGGTTGGTTTGGTTTGGTTTTTTTTTTTTTTTTTTTTGAGACAGGGTTTCTCTGTGTAGCTTTGCGCCTTTCCTGGAACTCGCTCCATAGCCCAGGCTGGCCTCAAACTCAGAGATCCTAATGCCTCTGCCTCCTGAGTGCTGAGATTAAAGGCATGTGCCACTACCACCCGGCTTAGTTATTATTTTTGAAAGAGGGTCTTGCTATGTAGCCCAGGCTGGCCTTAAACTTGCAATCCTTTTGCCTCGGCTTCTTGAGTGCTAACATTACAAATGTGAATCACCATGACTGACTTGGCTTCATTCTTAGCCCAGGACCTCTCACGTGACAGACATGGCCCGCTAATATCTACAGGGTCATGTCCTGTGCCTTAGCAACCCCAGCAATGGCCACGTGACACTCCCAGGGGCATTCCAGATGGTATCATCTTTCCATCCATGAGCCAACGCTTCAGCTGGTGAAGAGGACACTGAGTGGCTAGCCTGGTCACATCCTTTCCTGACTACAGTTCACAGGGCACCACGGCTGTGGCTCTCACAAGGATCATGTGTGTGATGGTTAAAACCGTCAACTTAATGGTTCGAGAATCACCTCGCAAAGAAGCCATTTGGCACATCTATAAGAGATTGTCTAGATTCAGCTAGTCCGGGTGGGAAGACCCACCTTAACTTGGAGTGGCACCATCCCAGGGCCTAGGCTCCTGGACCGAATGAAAAGGAGAACGCAAGCTGAGCTCCGGCATGTGTCCCTCTCGGAGTCTTCCTGGGAGATGCAATGTGGTGCCTGCCTCCTCGGTTCCTGCCACCACGGCTCCCTGCCACAGCGGACTGTACCGTGAACTGTGAGCCGAACTCAACCTTTTCTCCATTACGAACGTAACTAACATGACGTGGAATCAACAAGGAGCTCGCTAAGAGCAAGGACATGGGAGGGCATGCTAGATGCCGTGGTCTCCTGGGCACTTCCTGTCTCTCTGTTCCCCATCCTTACTTAGAGAGGCTTGTCTTCACTTGAAACTTCATGAAGTATAACAGGGGCCACAGATCTAGGGAAAAGGAATGTCTTCAAGGCAGGGGTAGAGCTTTGTGGCTTTTCCTGGAGAGACTGCTTCTATCCACCACAGATCAAAAAGAAAGAATGCCAAGTCCTAGATGGTGAGCCCAAGAGTTCATTGAAGTCGCTTATGTTAGCAAGGGTCGGGAGCATGGGTGACTCGAGCAGCTGGATTACAGAAAAGCCCACCCAGCTGCATCGCTGGAGTTCCCTGTGTGACTTGCTTGCAGCTCCATGGAAGTCTCCTCTCCCCTGGCAACTATTACTGCTCATATAATCCAAGACACCCTGAGTCTTATAAATTGCTTGTGTGTTGTGAGCCTCCTCTTTTCAGGAAAGAATGCTTCGATGCATAGCCTTTTCTATCCCTTTACCAGAAAAGCAAAAACCTTTTCCAGAGACACCCAAGCACACTTCTCCTTTAAGTGTTACAGCCACTTGTTCACACTGCTGTCCCCTGGCTGCAAAGGAGCTGTGGAAATCTAGTTCTGACAAAGTAGACTAGAATGCCACAACTGGCTTGGATCGGTATTCGTTTCCCCAGCTTCCGAATCTTCACACACCGGCCCACCCCCTTGGAGGCCCGTTGCTCTTGCTCTAGCCGTACAGCATCCTGGTTCTTGGTTTTAACAGGAACCCGCAGACTATAGAGCAGTTGATCATTGTCTCCAGGCCCCGCCCCTTGCTAGGATTCCTAAAGCACCTAGTCACTCCTGCTGCTTCCAGAACGCTAGGACTGCAGGTGTGGGCCACCTCTAGGGGCTTTCCAAATCAGTGTGGTAGCCAGCTCAGCGCTGACGTCATTCCACCGCTGTCCTATGAGGGACCAGCATGCCCACCTGTGCCAGGTCCTGAGCAGTAAGCAGCTTTCAAAGCCCTTTCCTGGGTGGATGGATGGATGGATGGACGGACGGACGGACGGCATTGTTGTCCATATACTCCACACAGAGCCAGCCTGAGTCTTCCCCTCTATCACCTCTTACTGCTCACCCCCACCTCCGGCTGTCACTTGGCTTTCCTAAGAGTGCCCATGAAGTCTTCAGATTGTCGGTTTGGGTCCTCCCCGGGCAGCAGTTAGCACTAGCCCTCTCTCTGGTCACCTCCCTGCACTGAACCTTGAATTGATACAGTGGGTGTGACTCTCAGGAAATTGCTCATTATTTGCCATTAGTGCCTGGGAGTGCGTGCCTTCCTATTATCCCATATCTTTCCATATTCATAGTCCTCCTTCTCTCCTCCCTCCCTCTTCCCTTCCTCCTTTCTTCCCCCTCTCCTGGGAACTGGTTCAACCAGAGTACAACCTGCTCATCTACCTCTGCCTGGCGCTGAAGCAGCTGCAGGAGCTGGGACGTGCAGAGCTGCGGAGCTGAGGCTAGAGAGGCCAGGCTGGCGCAGTGCGGGGTGCCGAGGGCGAGCAATCGGCCCAGCTACCTCCCCGAGGCCCATGCGGGGCCAGTGCCGCCGGCTGCTCCTTCATGAGGCCGCCGTGGTGCGGGAGGAGGACTCGCGGCATCCCGCTGGGGCTGCTCGCGCTCTGGGTGGCCGCCGCCCGCTGTCTGCAGAGTGAGTACCCGACTGGGAGACCTCGCAGGAGGGAGCAACTTGGCGGGTGGGAACAACATCGCTGGAAAGGGAGACCCCTCGGGTGCGCGCCTGGAGGGCGAGGAGATGCGGGCTAGGGTCACTTCACCGCCTCCAGGCTGGAGGGGCGCGGCTGCAGAGTCCTAGGCCGAGCTAAGGCTCCCTTGGTGCCCTGGGCCGCTGTTGCTGTTATCGGAGCAGGAAGCCGGCCCGGAGATAACTCTGCTTGCTGCAGGGCTCTGGCCTCCTGGGCAGAAATTTCTATTTTCTTCCTGGAAAATAAGCCGACTGCAAACCCGGAGGTCGCTTACCACCAGCCCCTAGTAGTAAACACACCCTCTGTGGGTTTCCTGGGTCCTATGGACCTCCCTTAACAGGAAGACGACTTCCAGATAGCCTGGTGTCAGGAAAGGGGTCCTGGGGTTCACTGGAGCATGAGACCAGAGAAAGTGCCTCGTGAGCCAGCGCTAGAATCCCTGGAGTCGGAGTGTAGCACATGTCCATCATCATTTGTAGACATGACTGATTACAGTACAGTTTACTTTTTTGTTCAAGGACTATCAGTACTACCGTTCCCACCTTACAGATCAGTCAACAGAGGTGTAGACAGGGCCAGAGTGGGGCGACTGGAGTTGTGAGGGCTAGTAGGGAGAGCCGGCCTTTCTGAGTCCTTTTGTTCACAGATCCTGGGAGGTCTACAGCCTCCTGACGGTTTAGTCCTCAGAGCCGCTTCTCTGTGTCCTACAAGTGCTGGAACTGAGGCGCAGGAAGGCCATCCTGCCTGGACAAGGTGACAGCCTACCTCGTGTGTGGTGATTCAGCCAGGGCTCACACTGAGCCTCCAGGTCTTTTCCTGGAGCACAGCACTGCCGTTTCCAGGACTGGGACCGGTCTGCTGCTCCCGCAGCTGGGAGCAGGACATAGCGGGCTGTCAATCCAGCAGTCGGGAATCTAGGCTGTGACCTCTCCCAGTGTTTTCCAGACACCGGCCTTGCTCTCGGTACCTACGTCTGTGATGTTCAGACGGTGATGTCCAAACCCTGGCTTCTCCCTGCAGGAAGCAGGCAGGCCACACACAGTAGATACAGGGAACACTGTAGTTAACAGTTTTTTCTTTGAAGTGGCCTTTGGAGGAGGTAAGAGCTGCCTTCTAGGAACACTTAGAACTCAGATTTGGGAAACCAGAGTTCACTATCCAAAGGAAAGCGCTCTTACCTGGACCTAGCGGTTGGATAGGAGCCACCATGACAGAGGGAACACAGGACGTTCCAGACATGCAAGCCTGAAGAGCAGGTGAAAGTTCGCATCACCTGGTGACTGTGCCCTACACAGCCGTAAGCTTCAGGAGGGCCAGCCCTGGCCACTCTGATCAGTCCCTAGTGTTTGCCCCATACTAGCCAGGAGCTAATCTTCTCAAATGAGGGGTGTGTGTCCCCGCCTGGGGGAGGCCTGTGCTGGAGGCCAACCCTGGTGATATGGGCCTGTCCTCTTCTCCCTGGCTCCCTGTATCCTCCAGTCAGGGCTGGGGTGGAGTACAACTGCAGAGCTCTTTTCTAGTATGAACAAAGCCCTAGGCTTTCGACCAAGCACTGTTTAAAAATAAAGGGGGGGGGGGATAAAACTTCATTCCCAAGCCGGGCGGTGGTGGCGCACGCCTTTAATCCCAGCACTTGGGAGGCAGAGGCAAGTGGGTCTTTGTGAGTTCAAGGCCAGCCTGGTCTACAGAGCAACATCCAGGACAGGCACAAAGCTACACAGAGAAACCCTGTCTTGATAAACCAAACAAAAAGAAAAAGAAAAAAACATGCCCCCAAGCACACAAGATTCCTGTATTTGGAAGTCTTTTCACTGACAATGCTGTTGTTGTTATGGACTATATATACATCCCCCAAATGCATTGCTTGAAAACTCTTTTGTGATGTTATTTGGAGGTAGGGCCCTTGGTGTGAAGTTGGAACCCCTGTGGTGAGATCCGAACTCTTCCTCTGCTGGTGGGAACACAGGGAGCAATTTAATAAACCAGGAGGAGGGTATTCAGTAAATCAGTGAGATGCTCAGCAGGTAAAGGCACTTTTCACCAACCAGTCTTGGCGACCTGAGTTTGACCCCTGACCCACAAAAGGTGAAAAGAAAGAACTGCTCTCATAAGGTTGCCCTGTGAGGGCCACACTCTCCATGGCACACATGAACCCACTCAATAATAGTCACTCAAATAAACAAGGGTAAAAATAGTTTTTAGATAAAATAAAATATGACTGTATGAAGTACCCTGGATCTTGCACTTCCCGCTCTCCAAAACTGAGAGGAGGAAATAAATGCCTGTCGCCTCAGTCATCCCGTCCGGTCCGTGGAATCTTAGAACAGCCCAAGCTAGAGAAGCTGTGCTGAGAAGCGGGGAACTACTGTCGTAAGCACCGAATGCTGTAGAACCAGTTACTGGGTGGAGGCTCAGAAGCTTGGAGGAGTGCACTTGGGGTTGAAAGGAAGCCCTGGTGAGGTCCCACAGAGAAACAAGGAGAGTTATTGAACAATGGAGAGAGGATTCATGAAGTAGCAAAGATCCCCACTGAGCTGTCTTTGCATTAGAGTGTTTTGTGGAAGGCGGAAGTTGTGAGTGATGCAGTTGGTTATTTAGCTGAGGAGATTTCTAAGCAAAGTGTTGAAGAAGGGGCTTGGTTCTTCCTGGATGCTTATAGCAAATCCAAGGGGGTGGGGGAAATGAATTGAGCTGGGTGTGATGGTGCATACCTTTGATCCCAGCACTCTGGAGTTCAAGGCTAGCCTGGTCTACATTATGAATTCTAGGCCAACTAGGACTACATAGTGAGACCATATCAAAAACAAACAAACAAACAAAAAGAAGTCAGAGCTTAAGGATGTGGCCATAACCTGCCAAAACTGTAAAAAAAACATCAATAGTGATGATAATAAAGGAATATCAGGAAGAGTGTGGCCCTCACACGGCAACCTTATGAAAGCAGTTTTTTCTTTTCACCTTTTGTGGGTCAGGGGTCAAACTCAGGTCTCCATAACATACTTACCAAGGTGTGGTGAACAGCCTTGGTAAGTATGTGTGTGAACCTAGGCACTAATCAGCCACCCCAGCAGAAACACTGCCAATCTGAACTGAAAGAGCCAGAGCAAAATGAAGGCAGAATATGGGTGTCTTAGGTCCTGCTTGACTGACCCACAAAGCTATACAGCTATAGACATGTTCCTCCAAACAGGAAAGTGAGCTTGCCTGGCTTACCTGGCTTAGGAAGGATGAGAATCTGCCTTCTCTCTATCAGGACATAGCAAGACAACGACAGCCTGAAGGCCAGGGCGGGAGCCCTCCCTCACCAAAACCACAGATGCCCTGGTCCTGGGTTTTCCTCCTGGGAAGTGGGGTTGCGGGTGGAGAGCATAGCTGTGCCATTAAGATGGGGATGCGTTCTGAGACTTGCATTCTTAGCTGATCTGGGTGTAATGAGAGCATCTTAGAGGGCCTCACAGAAACCAAGCTATCTCTGATGTCACCATGAGGTAGCTATATCTGTGGCCCATGGTTCTGTGGTGTGTGCCTGTGTTTACATAGATAGCTGAAACAGGAAGAGGAAGAGGGAGAATTACCAAGTTCAGAGTTTCAAAGTGGCTTTCTCATAACTGATTCCCTAGTCTGCTAGACATCAGTCAGCCCTCGGGACACAGGGGAGATGACAAATGGATCAGAAAGGACATTTCTTGTCCACAGGTCCAGCCAGTTGAGAATGTGTGCCTGCTGAGGAGCACCATGGGGTATCTCAGGCCTGCCCCGTGCTGACCCAGAGAAGCCAGGCTGTGAAGAATCCTAGATGGCAGAGGGAAGTCTCAGAGGTTCAGAGGCAGTTCCGGCCTTGGAAGCCCTGAATTCACAGGGCAGGGACAGGGAGGACAGGCGCTCAGTGGTTCCAAAACAGTGTAGCACATTAGAATTTGCTCAGAAAAACAGGTGCAAAACAACAAACAGACAAACAAACAAAACGCCTTTAGGGGACCAGCACTAGAGTGGCTCAGTAATTAAGGGCACTGCCCTTGCAGAGGTTCAATTCCCAGCACCTACATAATGGCTCATAGCCACCTGTAACTCCAGTTTTAAGGAAATCTAATGGTCTCTTCTGACCTCCATGAGCACCAGTTGCACATAGAATACATATACATACACTAAAGCAAAACATTCATACAGACAAGATACAATAAAACAACTAAGTAATTTTTCAAAAAGAAAAACAGGTGCCTGTCCCCTATTCCAGACCAATAAGACCAACAGGGCCCAGGGCAGAGACCAGTCTGTGTGGTTCTGCCTTTGAGCTTCTCCAGCTAAAGTGTGGCCAGGCAGAACATGTCTCTCCTAGACAATGTCCATTAGTCTGTTCCTAGGGGGAGAACTGACCCACAGGTATTCATTTGTCACTCCAAACACCGGCCGTTGTCTCAGAGTCTTGCTTACTGTGTGGTTTCATCCACACAGACTAAGACTCTCCTACAGGGCTGAGGGAAGGAAACAAGGCTACTTTTCTTTGGTCTCACTGGTCTCAGAAGTTCTTGAACTTTTACTATGACTGGCCATCAGGAGCTAGAGGGAAAGTCTAATCCCAAGAGGGTGGGTGCCTAGCACTGGGCATTGAGATTGGGGCTTGGTTTGGAGTAGGGAGGACTTCTTAAAGAGGAAATCTCGGTGGCTAAATAAGTAGATGAGCAGAGAAAGCTGGAGCTACAGGGACCATGGGGAGACTCCTGTCCTTGGCCAGTGAAGAGGGATCATTCTTTCCTGTGCCCTACGGGGCTGTTTGTATTTTCCCCACTCATGAACTCCATCATGGGAAAAAGTCACTTACCAATCACTCTTCTCTCAGAATGCCTGCTGTCATTGAGCAGCAATGCCCATGTGTTCCTTTCTTGATGCTGTTTTTCTGGGGGACCCAAGTCCAGGGAGTCTCAGGCCGGTCAGCAGCCCAGTTCCC